CATACGTGTGGATTATGAATCCGTCCTGATTTTTTACTGTAAAACACCATATTAAAAAAAAAAAAACAAATTGCGTAGCCAGATTTTACAATTTAACTTTGAAATTTAAAAAAGTGCTCTGAAACCTTGCAAACATTTCAAGATTGTCGTAAGCATGGTAAATCGTTAATCAAGACGTATTCATCATTTGGTTATCAAATTTTTGGCGAATAAATCCTACGTAAATATAGAAAATGAGTCTATATGTACTTGTGGTTGATCAGTACATTCATATTTTTATGTAACTGTGTATATAGGGTGGCTCAAAAAAATTAATGACGCAAAATATGTATTTTATTGATCTGTTATTATTAGTATTACACTATACCTAAATGTTGATGACGTCATCACGAAATTTTGTGATAACAAAATTCACTTGAAACGTAAGGATAAGGAGGACTTTAACACTACATACATATCCTTTATTTTAAGTTATAAGTGTTATAAAAAATAAAATTCGCAACAAAATGGTTATGTTATTTTGCACTTCAAGGTCTAGGGAAGTTCTGTTGACGTAGACAGTTTTTGTAAGATTTTTCGGAAACAAAATTATCTACTTCATCTCAAGACAAGTGAAAAGTGATATCACATTTACTGAAGTTTTCAGATTAATACACGGATCGAAATAAAAAAACCACGAATTTTTGAAAACTTGTCTTTGATCGTTGCATTTTCAAGTCAAATTTTCAAATTGATCACACTTTGACAAGAAAATTCTATTAAAGCCAAATCTACTAAAAACTGTGGCTGTCCTTGATCGTGTTTTTATTTCTTAGTCGAGGCTATGTTTGACTGTCAGAGATAATTCTGAATTATATACTAAATAAAATGCTATTTGAAAATTTTCGTTGTTCTTATAGCCCCTAGAAATACATAGTATCGTCATCCATTGTTGTACGAGTGGAGCAAATGCAGTTGGTAACGCAAAACATTCCCCTGGTTTGGAATCAAATTTTGTCAGCAAAGTTGACAGCGCGTAAACCGTTGTTATCACGTGGTCTTAGCGTGCACATTATTCTTGTTTAAAGTCAATTATGTGTCAAATAATATAACTAATAATTATTAAATAAGATTTTAATGATTAAATCTTATATTTTATTTACATTTATCTAATCAACATAAAACCATTTTAAATTTCGCGGTCTGTCAAATGGTGTCAGTAATTTTTGTTTTTGTTAAGTTTCCTCCAGGTTTGCTCCACGGTGACGATACTATGTGTTTTCTAGGGGCTATAGTTGTTCTGACAGTGACTATGTGATTATGATTTTGTTTCAATGCATATAATCGAAAAAAAAGTCTCTTAGTAGGCCACAAAATTTATTTTTAAAATAATAATGTTGGCAATATCAACGCGTTATTTGTTTAGTTTGATAGTTACTGTCAAATAAAGTCACAATTCGCTGCGAGGTCAGTATCATAATTTAAAAAACAATTAATTCCATGGTTCCCTATTGGACTTTTTTTGATCATAAGGTTTTTGGTACGGGCAAGAAAAATACAAATCTTGTGTCCAAAAAAAGCACAAAATCGAATCCATTTTTAATCACTTTTGCCAATCACAGACAACAATAACTTTAAAAATTTCAAATCACTTTAAAATTTTAACCGTTAACTTCTGTTTCAGTAATATCTTACGACTTTTTTAAAATATTTGCAAAGATTGCACCGAAAAAAAAAATTTACTGACCTTTCAAAAAAGATTCTGACATTTTGAAAACACCTCTGACCTAAAAAAATTAAGTTGTTAGACATATACTCAGGGACAAAAATATGATATTTTAAAATTATCGTAAATGTTCCACAAATTCTAAAAAAAGAACTAAGTTATTTTTTTAAATAGCACAGCCTATATATTTTTATATATTCTCATTGGCCTCTCCCTAGGATTTGTAATCATCTTTTACTTTTGAAACTCGGATGCGACGTTGTCAGATTATTCTAATTTTTTTGAATTTTGTTGCTAAAGCAAGGGTTCACAAAAGTATTGCAATAATGTTATTTTTAACAGTTGTGTTGCAATATTTTATGGAGAGATAAACAGAGGTATATACTTTATTGTGGTATTGTGGTATACAGAGTGTTTATACAAAATATAAAACGTTACAATTTTAAAATTTCGATATATCAGTATTTAATTAGAACGCCCTATATTTTATTAATATATCTTACTCTGTATTTTGTTATCTTTATTTCGTTATGTCGGTGTGTTTCTCAACAAAGTAAAAAATCGCCAAAACTATCGACTTTAAAAATTTTCAGAAAATTGGAATAACTTGGCAATGGCGCAGTGGAATTTCAAAAATAAATTTTGGTTATAAATTCGACGAAAACATCAGTTGCAATATGTAAAAATGTATAGTGTGCTCCATTTGAAAAAACGACACTTAAAAACAGTGCACTCCGTATAGTACAACTTTCGCCTTTAATTTATTTAATTAATGAGATATTTAAAAGGGCGCTTAGTGGCTCACCCTGTATATTTTAAATAAGGGCTGATAATAAAATTACCGTCAATTTGCCGTTTCCCATAAATTAAAATTTTGAAGGGATGATAAATTGTCATAATAAGAATTTTCCGAATGGTGAATTCGTTGGGGTGAATTTACTTATCTTTCGAAAGGATTGTTACTTTTTAAATTGAACTACTGTTTGTACTTCTAAAGTGAGTGACCCTAACAAAATGACAGCTACTAGAAAAACTTTAATACCCTAAACAGAAAAAACAAGTGGAGTTTATAAAACATTTTTGATTACGCCAGTTGTTATAAAGGCAAACGGAGTTCGTTTTGGGAATTAATTTTCAACTAATTCGAATTTAATCCTTCTCTTTTGGCTCCCCACTTAACGCTTAAACGACAAAAGTCACATTGTCTTATTCAATATTGAAAGCGCTTTCAAATGACGCTCGACATCGCTATTTAAAATTTCCACTGAAGACAGACCCATTACCTCCGTCTTGGAATTTTAAAACGTGTAATATGCTCCAACGTAAAGTATTCGTTTATCCATCGATGTATTTAAAGTTTCGTGCAACTTTTAATTCGTTCCAAAGTTAGATGGAAAAGACAGAGGTTGGAATTATTACTCTGTGCTAAATTAAATAGGTTAGATTTTGAAGAAAATCTACCGGTAAAATTTTGACTTGATTTCATAACTTCTGCAAATACTTGTTTATTTGTTTTTATTTAGAATAAACAAAGTCTCTACAAATCATCAAAACTGAACGAATTTATGGAGACACTTTATCTAACTTTTTTTCAACAAATTACGTGAAATCTCGTTACACCATATTCAACATAATGTATCGATTTAAAATGAACAAAACATATCGTACATTACATCATCACAATGTTAAACTCCAACCAACATCTGTCTAACAATTACCAGTTAAAATTACCTAAGTAATTTATGACTGCACCAGATAATCATGAAAATTTAATTAACTCGGTATAATTTAACGTCCCGCATTTTGAATGTTTTAATATAATTCAACAAATACAAGTGAGAATACAAACGTGAAGCCACTTAATCAAGACCAAAAAAGTCTTATGAATATACTGTGCTACCGAAAGCTTGAAAAAATATATCTGAATTATTTCTTTTATGTTACTTTGGCCAATCACAATAGGTTCATCAGAAGCCCAGCTTCTAAAGAACAAATATCAGTTTTCAATTTGGAAGGGTATTGTCCTCAATTTGCTCTTCCTGCAAAGAAGGCAGCTTGATGGATTGGCCGTACTACAAAAAATTCGGGTGAATTTGTTAAGGTGTCTACTGGACCGGCTGGTCACGCTGCTAATAATAATCTGACAACTAGAATCTAATTTAAACACAGCGAAATTTATGAAGTCTTGAAAGCTGTTATTTATGACCAGTTTAATTTAGTTTTTTTGTATTATTACAAGATTAGTGTGAAATATAGTTCGGATTTTTTTTGATGCAGTTTTTAAAAATGGTGGAGGCGCCAGGATACTATCGAACCTTGAAAAATGATACAACAGTGGATAAAATTATTCCGAAACTTGATGCAGACAGCAAACAGCACTTAATTAGAAATGCTAGGTTACACCTGCTCACAGATATTCAGATTATAACTAAATCTAATCTAGGATGAAGTGCAAACGGTTGTGGTACGATAAAGTCCTTCTAACCAACTGTTACCTACATGTAATATAACCCTTGGGTAAATTTCCAAAATTTAATTCATTAAAATTCATGGATGCGCTTTGCACATTTGCTTTTAATGTACAAGTTCTGTATTCCCAATAGTTAATTGAATAAAAAATTGATCCTGTCGGTTAACTTTCGCACAAGCGATGAGCTTCAGCAGCGGTAATTAATTTAAGAAGTTTCCGGCAATCACATTTCCAGTAAATTGTTATTAAATTTCTACAGAATACAACAGTTGTTGAACGTATTTTAAAATCGTGGACGAATTTGTGTTACTACTTAAAGGCTTTTTCAGTTGAAATCCTTTCAAAGTGGATGTGGTAAACGGCGTGGCTGCTTTAGGCATAGTCATTTCCTTACAATAACAAAGAGATGAAGTTTTTCCTTTAAATACAATTTTTGCGAGATTTTCCTAACTTAATTATTTTCCGGTTCATAACGCATTTTCATTACCCACAATGGAATTAAATTCTATCAAGCCCTAGCAGACTTACAAGCATTTGGGAAACCTTTTGTTTTAAATTATCTACCCAGCACTCACTTTTTTATTTTTCCTAGTAATTTATGCCAAGTTGACGATAATAAGTTAATAATAGGTTGCGTTTTCCTCCCTTATTGACAAACACGCTCTGATTAATTGAATAACTTCAGACTTGTGCAGCAATTGATCATCGAGTTTCGCCAGTGTCAGTTGCACAAAACGGGCTTACATAAAGCAACTAATTAATATTTTTCGCAACGTAACAGGTGTTAGGTAAGCCGTTAATTACGTAATCAATATTCTGTTACAGAAAATTATGGCCAGTCGGGAATTCAAGCCTTTCGGGAGCTCGCTGAAGAGGTTGACGTATGTATAGCACGGGAGGACTCTATTTTAAGCAAGGCTTCAGACGAAAGCTTCAATAAAGTCATTTTGAACTTGAAGCAAGATCCGAAAGCTTTTGTTGTGGTGTGCTTTTGCGAAGGATTCACAATCAGAGGGCTGTTGAAGGCAACGCGGCGCCTCAACATGACCAACCACTTCTTATTCCTAGGAAGGTGAGTGTTTAAATAAAAGCTGATTACGTGTTGTGTTTATACAATTAAAATTTATAATCCCGCAAGCTTAATATTTAATGGTAGAGTCTTTAACTTGAAATTTTAGGCAGATTAATTTCACTCTACGTGAGAGGCTTTATCAGTAATGCGGAGTTAGCTTAAGCGGCATGTGAGTTCTTTTTTATAAAAAGGCAGTATGAGCGTATTTTCAAACGTATAATCGTTCCTCTCTGGTGTAATATATTTATGAACTAACAAGGGTGGTTAATTGAAGAAATGCGGTGATATTATGATCAAAGAATGATCCACAGAGTTAAGTTTAACATTTTTGCGGTGTATATAAATTGGCTTTTTAAAAATAAAAACGGATCTGAAGTTATGTAGACAGAACTGAACTCGCACTCGTACAATCGAAAAAGTTCATAGGTCTCTCGTTTCCGTCTGTCTGTCTGCCGTTTGCCATGTGTCCGCGCCTGTGTCGATTTTTACTATATAGATAATCTTCTAAACTACCGCACCAATTGTTGTGAAATTTTGTATGTATATTAGGAATATCATGTAAATGATTAAACGCTGACTAAAATTCTATCTGATTACCCTCACCACCAATACGGTGACATCATCTCCAAAATTTACAGTAGTAAATGTTATTTAAATTTTATAAAATAACATACTTTTCCAGCTGTAATTTATGAATCCGTGTTGAGTTTTTACCTTAGACAATTTAACTCTGAAATTGTAAAACTGAATGCAAACGCTTCAAGTTTATCGAAAACATGGTAAATCGTTAATCAAAATTTATCCGCTTACGCTCTCCATAATAACTGATGACGTAGTCTCAAAATTTTGCCAAATAAATCTTATCTAAAATGTATAAAATATTATGAATTATAGTTGTGATTTATCATTCCATATATATTTTTTAAAATTGCATAAACAGGGTGACTTAAAAAAATTAATGAACGAGTCAATTATTTATTTCATTGATCAAATCAGCTTTGAAATCTTGCACACCTTTTAAAGTTATCATAAGCATGATGAATAAATGTATCTGTTTATCCCCTCCAAAAAATTTATGACGTCATCTCAAAATTTTGCCGATCCAAAATGTGCAAAATATAATGAGTTTATTACTTGTGATTTATCAATACATTCATATTTTTTTAGAATTGCTTATACAAAGTCACTAAAAAAAATTAATGAATGAGACAATTTAAAACTCGTATGCATATTGCAACAAAAATAGTATTATAATACAGAGTCATCAAAATTGATTGAGAGAGTTGGTAAACCTGAACTTGAATAATTTGGTTTATTAAGTTGTATAAAAATATTGGCTGTCAGATTTGAAGTTTCAAGTTTCAAATTTCAAAACTCAGTGGCGTCTTTTTTCGACTTTTTTTTTGGTAAAAACATTAGTTGTCAGATTTGAAGTTTCTAATTTTTGTCACGCCACTGAATTCATTGCCATATAACCTTAAACAAATCTGTCATAAGGTTGACAAACTTCACGACAAAAACAGGGGGTACCAACTCTCTCAATCAATTTTGATGACCCTGTAGTCCCAGATTTGTGGGAAAATTATATAAACTATATATTTATAGTTGATAAAATAAAATTATTTAACTCATTGTTTAATTTGTTTCATCATGTCATAATTTAAAACCTACATACTTAATGTTAAAAATAGAATAACGTCAATAAACCACAGGTGTAGAAGAATATAAAAATGTAATAATAAAAATTTGCACTCATTTGTTCCAAAATATTGATAAAGTCATATCAAAATACATGGTAACTATTAATGCTTGAAGCAAATTTTTATGTTGGCAATTTTGGGCACGCCTAACAAACTCTCTTAAAATTTCTAAGTTATTATTCTAATCTCCACAGATACCGATGCCCTGAAGGAAATATCACATAAACCTTTAATGAAAAATACCACTTGTTGCATACGAAATTAGCAGAGTTTCAGAGCCTCGAAATATTATATGTTAATAAATTTACAGATATTTTTATACATGCTAATTAGCTAGATCATAAAACTAACAATTTTGGTTGTTATAAGCAAATGTACTTTATTTTAAGAATTTATGTAATGCCAGTAAACGAGATAATGTATCACGAATAAACATAAAACGTATCAAACGTCTTAGTACTTAAAAACCCCCGACAAACAACAATGAGCACTTAGAAAATCTGAAATTGCTAAAGATTCGCTACGAGGGGCGCTGCGCTATCTCTAGCTCCGTCGCGGCGACGGTCACTGCACTATCTGTACCTTCATCGCTGCGACGGCTGACGCTCTATTCCCACCTTCGCTTGAACCAAACTAATTTCTGTACCAACTGTCTTATGAGTTAATGATTTTGAAATGGTTGAAATAATTACCATGAAACATAGCTAAAAACCAACGCAATTAAACCAGCTTTCAAACAAAAAGCCGCATTGAAATCGATTCACAATGTCTGTGTGTATAGACATCAGATGATGTTCTTAAAATAGATGAAGTGATTATTGTCTTCAAGCATAGCTAAGGACCATCGATTAAACCAGCTTGCAAGGAAAAAAAACGCATCTGGGGTTAATAATAAATAATTAATAAAACACAGTTCTTAGCAAACAGGAGGCATGTTTGTGTTCCAAATTTATATGAAACAAAATATACACAGATAGATTTATATCGTTTAAATAGAATTTACTTAGAAAGCTTTTAATGTGGCGTCATCAAAATTTTTGGTGGAATGGACAGACAAATTTTTGTTAGCGATTTATCAGCTTCAAAACTTGTACTAAATTTTAGAGCAATTAATATAATCGTTTCTAACATAAATTGTAAAGATTATATTAGAAAATTTAGAATTTTTACTCCCTGAGCATAAGCTAAAGAAGTATTGTAATCGAGCCCATCATTGAATTTCTGGCTACTTTTACGTTTTCTCGGCGTTTCATAACTTTTAGAGTACGAAAAAATCGATCTCCCGTTTCCGTCCGTCTCTCTGTCGGTCGGCTATCCGAATATTTATTAGCCAGTTAGTCTCCGAAACTACTGGACCGATTGTTGTCAAATTTTGTATGTTTATTAACAATTTCGTATAGATGGTAAAACGCTAACCAAAATTTAGCTAATCATCTCCTCAAATAATAGGATGACGTCACCTTCAAAATTTACATCCAGATTTTTAGAAAAAAATCGAAATTGTATAACAACATTTTGCAATTATTTAACTTTGAAACTGCAAAACCGAATGCTCTCAAATATTGCAAACTTTTTAAGACTGTTGTAGGAATGATAAATCGTTAATCACAATTTTTTCGTTTATGCCGCCCCAAAAAAGTGATGACGCGATTTTGCAATTTTGCCGAATAAATGTTTTTCGAATTTTATAGAATTACACACTCCTGGATGTGTGATTTATGAATCCGTGTCGAGTGAAGAAAACAAAGTTGTATAACAATATTGTACAATAATTTACACATTGAAGTTGCAACACTACATGCTCTGAAAACTTGCAAGCGTGTAAAGGTAATCGTAACCATGGTAAATCGTTAATCAAAATTTTCACGTTTATGCTCCCTAAAAATTGATAACGCCATTTTATAATTTTACCGAACATATTGTTCTTCAAATTTTATAGAATTAGTGTGATTTATGAACCACTGTAGGGTTTTTCCCTAGACATCCAGATTTTTGGGAAAGAAGTCAAAATTGTATTACAACATTTTACAATCATTTAACTTAGAAAATGCAAAACTGACGCGCATGGTTAAAAATGTAAATAAAAATATATATAAAGTAAACCGCATACATTTTCGTATTTTAAGTGCAATGTATCCAACAAAATTTTGAGATGGCATCAAAATTTTTGAAAGGGATAAATTTTGTTTAGTGGCTTTACGATTATCTCAGAGGGTTTGGAAGATTTCAAAGTAGTCGCTTTTGCGTTTTCAAAAACCAATTTTTGATAGGAACATATCATTTATTACAATTTAAATTAAAATAGGAATAAAAAAAAGATATTAACACATTGTTGGTGGGGATGAACAAATAAATTTCGTTAGCATTTAACCATCTACAAAATACTCATAAAGTAGATCCAAAATTTCAGAGCAATCGGTTCAGTAGTTTGAAGATTCCGTCTTTAATGTAATGGCTAGCAGATATTGAGAAATGGGGGACTTACTTTTCCATATTTTAGGAACCATGAGATTTCTAAAAAAAGAAACTTACCGTTCGTCAATTAAAAAATATCAGAAACGTAGTTTATGTGGTCTTTGACTGCGACTGTCATTATGTTCTATTATTGAAAAATTACAACAACTGTCGACAAAATACAGGTTGAACTGGAATTAATTTAATAAAACAAGTAAACAAGTCATATTATTTCTGAATCAATGAATAACTTCATGTGTTTGTGATTGTGTGTTGAAATTTTTACATTCAAAATACCCCAGCAGAATTAACGGAAAAAGCAACATATACCTTATTGAATTTATTACCAACGATTTCTCGAGAAAAATATGAAACAGCCTACGGTTAACTATAGTTCAAAATGAGTTGTATGCTAAGAAGTTAATAAAAATGTGATTGTAAAGTTATAAACTTAAATAAATTTGCCCAGAGGAAAAGTGTGATCACCAGAGTTAGGCAAAGCCGAAGTGATCGGGAATCAAATAGACAAATATTAAAAACGACGGTGTGACGTCAGGCGATAAATTTGGCTAGTCGACTGTGCAGTCTCAACCTCAGTGGCGTTGCAATTCAGGGTTTATCTGATCAAGATCATCACGAAAATTGTGATGTTGAATAGTCATTTTTAATTTTCAAAGCATTTTAACACCTAGGAGAACTCGTATAACTGAGGAAAACCTAGAAAAAGTAGTGAGTTATTAAGAATTCCCGAAGTTGTGGGCCACAACTGCAATAGCGCTGGCTATCGGACGGCAATGAGCATCACTTCCGCGATGTTGAGAGACGAATGAAAAATTATTATTATTC